GTGATGTGTCAGGAGCTGCATCAGCTAAGGCCCTGGTTTCTGTTGATTCACCTTCTGAAACCTCTTCCTTTTTAGTCTTCTGGGATTCCAACCGCACGGGGTCTCGCCGTCCCAGGCGCTGAGGGAGGTGGCCGCGCTTTATAGCCTGGACCCCCCGCCCCCCGGGCTTTCGCCCGCCCAGGGCTCCCCTCCCACCTCCCCGAGACCGGTGCTCCCGGACTGGGGCGCCCCCTGCGGGATCGCCGGGAGACAGACCTCAGGCGCCGGGAGCCGCAGCCTTAGGACCCGGGAGCCCGCGATGAATGCAAGAGGGGAGCTACAGGTGGGAGACACTGCTGATACTAAAGACCTCAAGGGCAGAACTCAGGGGGAGCCCTTCCACCCAGGGGGCTTCATCATGTCTACCCTAGAGAACGAAAAGCCAGCGTGCAGTTGATCCGCTGTGGGGGAAAGGGTACTCAGAGCTCTACTAACTCTAGAGTTACAGACACGTCAATAAAAGGACACATCAGAGATGCTCAAAACCACATTTCCATTGGACAGAGGAGAAGACTGAAACTTCAGACGGCTGCAAATGCTTTTAGACTGTGTACAGGGTCAAGACCAGAGGCGGAAAGGATCAGGGTCCCTCCGCTTAGACCTCAGGAGGGCATGAGAGCACCTCCAAGACCCAGGAGCTTCTCCCACGGGATTCCATTCCAGCAGGAGCTGGCCGTCCATGGTCTCCAGATCTCTCTGAACTACATTTCCCAGAAGGCTCGATTGCAACATCGGCGCGCGCTATATCCAGAGACTACATTTCCCAAAAGGCACAGCGCCCGACGGCCGGAAAATGGAGGCCGCTGGGGCGGAGACAGGCTGGGAGCGGAAGGCGGCCAGAGAGGCGAGAGTTAGGGACAGGGTCGGGGGCGGGACGCGGACTGGACTCCATTTCCCAGTGGCTCTATGTGTGCAGAGTGTGCGCAGAGTCCCGGCGTTGGGCGGAAGATGGCGGCGGCGGCGGCGTCTGCGAAGAAGCTCTGCTGAGGGGGCGCGAGGGGCACGGAGGCTGGAGCCGCGGTAGGAAGGAGGCGGCGTGAGGGCCGTGGAACTAGGGGATGAGGGTCCCCTAAAGAGGCGGCGGCACGGGAGGGGAGGGCTGCTGTGCGGAGAGGGGAACCGCAGTGTTCAGGGTCCCAGTTTGTTTCCGTGCTCAGCACCCTTCTTTGGCTCCCCAGTGCTCTTGGCCAAAGTTCTAACGTGGCCCCCCACTGGCGCGTTCGCTCCAGAGACCTCACCGGCTTCCATTCTGTGTCTTTGCTTATCCCGATCTAGCACAGTCACCCTGGCCTTTCGGTTCCTCAAACTCACCATGCGCCTTCCCGCTTTGCCTAACTATCCCCTCTGCCCGCAACATCTTTGGCTAACTCATTCATTTTTCAGGTCTGCGCACCGACGTCACTTCCTCTGAGAAGCCCTCCTTTCTGCCCTCTAACCTGAAATCTGCTTGTTAAATGTCCTCATAGGTCCCTGTTCCTTTTCCTCTTGTTACGTGGGTTCCAGTTTGTGATTAGGCTTTTTAGTGCTCTTTGATTATGACCATGACCATGAGCTCCGTTCGGCCAAGGGCTGGATGAGTTCCTATCTAGGACTATCCATCACACTGGAGATGTTCGTTGATGAATGAAAATTACTACAAGAGCGACTCTTTGGGAGTAATAGGAGAAAAGTCATACTCCAAGGTGGGAGTTGGGCAATCTTACCCTGTAAAGAGTCCACACAGAGGGAATGGAAACCATGACATTGTAATAGCAAAAAAGACTACAAATGTAACAGATGTTCCTCAGTGGGAAAATGGGATGAAAAAACTGTGATAGAGCCCCTTAATAAAATGTGATGCAACTGTGAAAGAAATAAAGAAAAAAAGGGAATGAAAATCTCCATATATTGATAGAATGGGCTCCATCATACACTAAGTGAAAACAAGTGGAAAGTAGTAGTTATTGTATGGTATGTAGTTGGCCTTTTGTATCCTGGGCTCTACATCTGTGGACTCAACTAACCTTGAATTGAAAATATTTAGGAAAAACGTACATACTGAATGTGTACAGACTTTTTTCATTGTTTGTTAACAATCTGTAAAATACGTACATAACATTTACCTTGCATTAGGTGTTATACATAATGTGATTGAAAATATGCAGGAGGCATATTGCAAACTGCCATTTTATATAAAGGACATGAGCACCTGGATTTTGGTATCTGAGGAGGGTCCTCGGGCAATTCTTTTGGATATTCCCTTTTAAAAAAGAAATAAGGGCTGGGGAGTTAGCTCAGTGGTTCTGCCACCTGCCTAGCAAATGCAAGGTCCTGAGTTCGATCCTCAGTACCAAAAAAGAAAAAGAAAAATCAAGCTGGGTGTGGTGGCACACACCTGTAATCCCAGTACTCAGGAGGCTGAGGCAGGAGGATCGCCGTGAGTTTGAGACCAGCTTGGGCTACCTAGTGAGTTCCAGGTCAGCCTCAACTACATAGTGAGACCCTGTCTCAAAAAAAAAAAAAAGAAATCAAGGGGCCAGGGATTTAGCTATGTGGTACCGCCACCTGCCTCACACACTCAAGGTCCTGAGTTTGATCCCCCATACCAAAAAAAAAGAAGAAAAGAAATAAAGCTTTACCAGGTTGGGGAATGTAGCTCATTGGTGCTGTGCCTACCTGGCATGAGGTCTTGAGTTCAATCCCGGATACTGCCAAAAAAATAAAAAAAACAAAACCGGACTTGGTGGTGTCTACCGTAATCCTAGCACTCTCTGAGAGGCTAAAGCAAGAGGATCGCAAGTTCAGGCCCAGTCTGAGCAACATAGCACAATTAAAATAAACAAGGCTGGGCACATACATAGGTCCATGCAAAGGTCCTAGGTTCAATCCTCAATACTGCTGAAATAACTAATAAAGACAAAGTGTTACTTGTTGATTGGTTCCAGAAGGCAGGATAAGTACCAAAAATGAGTACCATGTAAATTGTTTGGGCAGCAAAGGATAGCAAAGCATGAGGCAGTCTACATTAGGTCTAGATTGTGTGTTGAGGACCGGAACGGACATTTCCCATCCAGATTTGAATACCAACTTTGATGAGTTTCAAAGCAGTCAAGTACCAGGGTGTGACTATATGTGTATGTGTTTTAAATAGAGCAACTGAAAGGCATGCCAAAAAGCTGAAGAGGAAGGAAATGGTGAAAGATTTGGTGAGCATTGATGAATTAGCATCATGAGAAGAGCAGAAGGCTCACATCGTGACTAGGGATGGCACTACTCTAGTTGCCAAGTGGCTGTGCCCTTTGGCTTACAGGAACTAACCTGGGCTGGAGGAAATAGAAATCCCTTTCAGACAGACAGTGTAGCATAGTAATAGGAAAGACTGATTCTGCATTCACACTCTTCTACCTCTTATGGATTGTATGCCATCAGTCAAGTGACTACCTCACTTTTTGGTTTATCCTTTCAGTTTTTTTCTTAAATTTTGTTTTATGTTCTTTTGAAAAATACACCCGTAGTTCTCTTCTTGTGGTAAGAAGGGAGCATACAGTAAACATTGCCTTTCACTTTGTGGGTTTTTGTGTTGGATATGCATTCTCTATCCCTTTGTAAAGATTTTCCTCATTCCCTTTGTTTTTTGTTTGCTGTTTTGTTTTGTTTGTACTGAGTATGAACTCAGTAATTTGCATTTGTGAGTCAAGCGGGTTTGTTTGTTTGTTTTGTTTTGAGACAGGGTCTTTCTTTGTGGTGCAGGCTGGTCTTGAACTCGCTATGTAGTCCAGGCTGGCCTCAAATTTACAGCAGTCCTCCTGTTTCAGCCTCCCCAGTGCTGGAGTTATAGGTATGCAGCATGACTCCTGGTCTTTTTCTCTCCCCTGTACTAGGGATTGGACACAGGACATCTCTCATACTAGGCAAGTGCTCTACCACTGAGCTACATACCTCTGTTTATTTATGGTACATTGAACTTGGGGTCTTGTGCTTGTGAGGACGATGGTGGAACCACTGAACTAAATCTCTGCCCCTTTTTTATTTAATTTTGAGAGAGGGACTTGCTAAATTGTGCAGGCTGGCTTTGAACTTGTGATCCTCCTGCCTCTGTTTTCTTTGTTGTTGTTGTTTTGTTTGTTTGTTTGTTTGTTTGAGACAAGGTCTCACTATGTAGTTGAGACTGACCTGGACCTCACTATGTAGCCCAGGCTGGTCTCGAACTCAGTGATCCTCCTGCCTCAGCCTCCCAAGTGCTGGGATTACAGGCGTGAGCCACCACACCTGGCCTGCCTCCTTTTTCTGAGTGGTTGGGATTACAAGTGTGTGCCACTGTGCCTCATTAGCTGCATAGACTATTTGTGGGGGATACTAGGGATTGAACACTTGGGACATTGCACTTGGTAAGGCAGGTACAGCGGCACTGAGCTAAATCCCTGGCCCTTGCATAATCTTTTAATATGTGCACATATTACAGCTTATAGTTTTTTAGGCAGTCTATAAGAAAACATTTGGTTTGCTTCTAGCATTTTGTTGTTGTGATTAGCACTGCAATTAATATCTTTCTGAATTAACCATTTTATAATTTTTCCAAGATGACTTTGTGATAGATTCCTAGGAGTCTCCTTCCCTCCCTTTTCAAAACAACCCAAAAGTAAGCCAGAGAATGGCTGAAATGTAGTGTATATTCCTGCGGGCCTTTTCTGATGTAGTGCGCATCCCTGCTGTGTGCAGGGCCCTGGGACTGGTGTTTCTTGGAGCTGTTTTAGAAACTTTGCTCTGGGGTGTGGGCCAGAGTACAGCCAAGATGGAGAGACAGGAAGCCAAGGGCAGCTGCCGTGTGTTCGTTTGGTCATCATCAGCAGAGGCCTGTGGTCAGCCCGTGCGTGTCAAGTACTGGAGATGATGCTTGCAGTTGTGCCTCTGACCTGAGAGACAGCCCAGTCCCTGCTCACACCCCACACACGCTATAGGCCGGAGAAGGAGAGGCGGGCAGGGAAAGCAAGGCTGGAAGGTTGAGCCCTCTGTGGTTGTTGGTCCATCCTAGCCTGGCCACAAGGGCCCAGAGCTTGATCCTTCCCCTTCTTTTCCAGAGAACACCTGAGGGCAACCATGGCAAGCGGCAGCGGGGACAGTGTCACTCGCCGGAGTGTGGCGTCACAGTTTTTCACACAAGAGGAGGGGCCGGGCATCGATGGCATGACCACCTCAGAGAGGGTAAGTGTGTTGAGGAGGGCTGGTGGCCGGAAGCCACATCCTGCCTGGGACAGTGCACCCCAGGTGGCAGAGCTGGGGGAGGGGGTGGCTTGTGCTGACAAGGCCGGCTCTGTCACATACCTCTCCCCTCTTTCCAGGTGGTGGATCTCCTCAACCAGGCAGCACTGATCACCAGTGACTCAAAGATCACAGTGCTCAAACAGGTGAGGGCAGGTGGGGCAGGATGAGGGTAGGGGGTAGGAGAAAACACCGGTGACAACACTGCTGTCCTCTTATACACCTGTGGCAGAACCCCAGGCTGTGTCGGCGTGAGTTGTGCTCTCCAGGAGTCCTCCTCAGAGCTCCAGGAGTCGGGGGTTTTACCTCCACTCGGGACGCAGAGAACAGACCTCACGCTTCCCTCGTTAGACCAAGGTCACCAAGCTAGCAGCTGGCCAAACTAGTGCATGAATTCTAGATTCCTCTGCTCTTTGTTGCATTTGCTGTCTACCAGGGTCCAGGGGAGGGGAAGTTGTGTCTGTCACCAGGTGGCGGTGACCTAGAGTGTGCAGGGCTGGTATAGAGAAGCCCAGGGGGCTGTGGGAGCTCAGAGAGGACACCTGACTTGGCCTAGACATGGGGATGAGAAGGGGCTTTCTGGAGGAGAGGACACTTGAGCAGAGCTCTGGGAGATAAGGAGAGAGGTACCAAACTAGAGGGAGAGATCATCTCAAGCAGAAGGCAAGCAAGCATGTACAGAGGCAGAGGAGAGAATGGTTCAGAGGAGGAGGCAGCTGGGTCAGAGACTGTGGGGTCAGGGTGCCTGCGTGAGAAGCCAGCTCTGCTGCTTGCTGTGTGGGTAACCGATGGGGAGGGTTGTAGCAGCAGGATCCTGTGCCTGCAGGAGGATGTGGGCTTATTCCAAAGAGTCTGGCAGGTAGGGGCCTCAGGAAATGATTCTCCCTGGCATAAGGTGCTTGCTGAATGGTGGCAGTGTGTCAGGGCAGAAGAGAAGAGCGGGTGAAAGGAGGCCAAACCTCATGAAGGTTGGAGCCTTGAGGCAGTTCCGTCTTTAGCCCTCCTGCACTGTCCCATGTAGTCTCTCACTGCACCCCTGTGAGCTGGTGTTTAAGGTTCTCGTTTTACAGTACAGCTAACTACGGCTCAGAGAGGGGAAACTACTTGCTCAGTTGCACACAGGGGAGTGGCTGAGCCAGGAAGTAGGTCCATGCCATTTCCCCTAACTGCCCTGTCTGCACTGGTGGGATCTTGGTTTTATATGTCTGTTCCTCTTCCCCAACCCAATCTCCTTCCAGGTCCAGGAACTGATCATCAATAAAGACCCCACACTACTGGACAACTTCCTGGATGTGAGAGACTGATGGAATGGGAAAGGGCCTAGGTGTGGAAGGAGGGGGTGCGTCCTGCTGTGGCCTGACACACCTTTTCTCTGGCACTGACAGGAAATCATCGCTTTCCAAGCAGACAAGTCAATCGAAGTGCGAAAATTTGTCATTGGCTTCATTGAGGAGGCATGGTACGGGGTCCAGGGTTCAGTTCCCAGTACCACGCACACACAAAGATGAGGTTGCCTGCCCAGATTCACGATTGTCTGTCTCTCCTGCCCTGTATGTGAATAGCAGGGCTCTAAGGTGGCAAAGAAGTGGGGGTTGCCGGACAAGATACAGCATTCGGGGGCAGCTCAGACCAGAGGTGCCGGGTATTATTCTCAGCTTCCAGCTGTGCTGGCAGACAACACGTGATCCCCAGTTGCCACCTCCGTTCTATTTCCCGGAGTTATGGGCCCTGAATTCCCTTTGCACCTGGACCCCAGGTTTCCACCCTAAGACCAACTTGACTTTGTCGCTTTTCTTCTATCCCCCAGCAAGCGAGACATTGAGTTACTGCTGAAACTGATTGCAAACCTCAACATGCTTCTGAGGGACGAGAACGTGAATGTAGTGAAGAAGGCCATCCTCACCATGACCCAGCTCTACAAGGTGGCCCTGCAGGTGAGGGCTTTCTCTGCACCCAGGGTGTCCCACCTGCGGGTCTCATTTACGAGGTATCTGCTGGAGTTCAGACCAGGGTCAGGTCAGGTCACAGTGTTTATGGGCAAGATGTGCTCTTGGTCTGTGGAAGGGATCTGATGTTGTTTACTAGGTCAGGGACTCTGTGAACACATCCTTTCTTTTATTGGTCTATTCATTTATTCACTCGTAAACATTCCCCAAGCTCCTCCTTTGGGCCCAGCCCATACTAGGTGATGCTAGGGACCAAGCAGTGACCAACACACTCGGGGTCCTGACTTCAAGGAGCCTGTGGCCCAGTGAGGGACACAGACTCTAATTAGAGAAAGATGTAAATGTTAACTGTGGACCGTGTGTGAAGGCACTGCTGTAGTGTAATGTTCAGGCATCGAGGAGACGGATGAAGCCGTCAGTCAGCATCCCTTAGGAGTCAGTGTCATCCTGTTGCATTCCTTAAGAATTGAGACTTCGCTAGGTTTTCACTGCCTGTGAGCCCCATCAGAGTAGGGCCAGACCTGTCTTGGGCACCACTGTTCTACCCCAGCATGACCCACTGCAGAGGTGGGAGATGGGAACTCAGAACCAGTTAGTTGAATGAATGTAGGGTCTCTAGGTGACAGTGCAGGGCATTGGGGACTGATGTGTCGTTTCCATGTTTGTCTCTTCCCTCCTGGCAGTGGATGGTAAAGTCACGGGTCATCAGCGATCTCCAAGAGGCCTGCTGGGACATGGTGTCTGCCATGGCTGGGGACATCATCCTACTGTTGGACTCTGACAATGATGGCATCCGCACCCATGCCATCAAGTTTGTGGAGGGCCTCATTGTCACACTGTCACCCCGCATGGCTGACTCAGAGGTTCCACGACGCCAGGAACATGACGTCAGCCTGGACCGCATCCCTCGTGACCACCCCTATATCCAGTACAGTAAGCGCCGCCCATCCTCTCGCTGCTGCCGTTTGACTCACGCTGGCTCTTTTCTCTTTTCCCCTCTCCTCCGTGCTTGTCTCACTTGGTTTTTAGTTTCTGGAAGCAGCATAGTGCAGTGCTTAAAAGCCTGAAGCTAGGTTCACATCCCAGCTTCGCCACCTCTGTATTAGAAACCTGAGTAAGTGCTTCTTTTTGGATTTTATTTCTTTAAAGTCACACTGATAGTGGTCTCATCACATGGACTATGGAGAGGTGCCATGAGAATAGGAGGTAACGGGTTCCAGCTAGTAGGTTGTTTCATGTTTTTTGTTTTTTTTTTTTTGTACCGGGAATCAAACTTGGGCCCTTGTGCTTGCGAGGAAGGTGGCGGAACCACTGAGCTAAATCCCCAGCCAGTTTCATTTGTTTTATAGGTTTTGTTTGTTTGTTTTTTCAGTACTAGGGAATGAACCGGGGCCTTCTCACTGAGCATTTTTTTTTTTTTCTATTGTGAAGACAGGGTCTTGCTAAGTTGTCCAGGCTGGGCTCAAACTTGAGATTCTTCTAACTTAGCTTCAGAGTGCTGGGATTATAGATATGCCAGCAAGTTTTATGCTTTTCTTTTGATTTTTTTGTTTTTTTGTACCAGGGATTGAACTCAGGTCTTTGTGCTTGTGAGGCAGGCGCCAGAACCACTGAGCTAAATCCCCTGCCCTATGCTTTTCTTAATTTTTTTTTTTTTTTTTTTTGAGACAGGGTCCACTATGTAGTTGAGACTGATCTGGAACTCACTATGTAGCTCAGGCTGGTCTCAAACTCATAGTGATCCTCCTGCCTCAGCCTCCCGTGTGCTGGGATTACAGGTGTGTGCCACTACGCTTAGCTGCTTTTCTTAATTTCAAATTGTAAAAATAGTACATATACATTGCATATGTGTCAAGCAACATGGAAAGGTATACAGGAATAATTCCTTTTCCATTCCTGCTTTCCAGAGGTAAATGCTGTTATGGGAATTATGTTTCCTTCCTTACGGTTCCTGTGCACGTGTAGGTATTTGTATAAGCATAGTGTCTGCATTCTCTTTTTTTGTTTAAATGATATCATGCTATATATATATATATAAGTGTGTGTGTGTGTATGTGTGGTACTGGGCATTGAACTTGGGCCCTTGCGCTTGCAAAGCAGGTGATGGCACCACTGAGCTAAATCCCCAGTCCCATGCTTTATACTTTTAGCTGAAAGACATTAGAATGTACTGGCTTGTGTTCAGATTTTAGCTCTACCATTGGGCTTTAGGGTTAGGCTTTCTCTAAGCCTGCTTCCTCATTGCTAAATTCTGGATTGTCTTCATCACTTGACTCCTTGCTGGGTCAAAATAATTTAAAGAAGTAGAGGTTTATTTTGACTCATGTTTAAGAATCTTGTTTCTTAATTCTGAGGGATTTAGCTCCGTGGTGCCGCACCTGTCTTGCAAGAGCAAGGTTCTCAGTTCGATCCCAGTACTGAAAAAAAAAATCTTGTTCCGTATACTGTTCCCCAGGCTTAACTACCACCCTGCAACGGAAGGGCTTGGATGGAGGGAGCTGTCATGTCACATCTTGGACTCACTGTGTAGTTCACTATGTAGACTTGAACCTGAGGCAGTCCTCCAGCCTCAGCCTCCAGAGTGCTGTGATTATGGGTGTGCCACCACCATGCCTGGCTTTAGATGGTATTTTATTCACTCAAATAATGTGAAAGTCAGTGTGTTTACCACTCAAGTTTTAAGCATTAACTCCTGGGACTGGAGTAAGGACACTCTGTAAGGACCTTTGAGAGCTCTTTGTCTGTGTGTCGTATTAGGGATATACTCAAAGTTTGATTCAACTTTCTTCATACAGTGTGTTTCCTGTAGTAGGATATTTAAAATTATTTTTAGTTTTTTGCTTTTCAAGTCTGTGCTCTGAACATCCTTATAGCTTAGTTTTTATACTCATTAATACTTTCACAAGCCTGGCGTGGGGAGCATACCTGTAATCCCAGCACTCGAGAGGCTTGAGGCAGCAGGATCGCTGTGAGTTTGAGACCAGCCTGGGCTACATAGTGAGTTCCAGGTCAGTCTCAGCTACATAGTGAGACCCTGTCTCAAAAAACAAAAACAAATACTTTCAAGAGACTCAAATTCTAATTTTTTCGTGTGATTTTCTGGCCATTCACAGACATCTTAAGTGGCAGGTAGGTCCCCACTTTCTTTAGGCACCAGAATCTGCTCTCTTTCTGTGTCTCTGTCTCTCTGTGTCTGTCTGTCTCTCTTCCTCCCCCCACCCCAGAGGTCTGGGAGGAAGGACTGCACTGACTGGCCCTCTGTCCTTCCTTATCAGATGTGCTGTGGGAAGAAGGCAAGGCAGCCTTGGAGCAGCTGCTCAAGTTCATGGTTCACCCCGCCATCTCCTCCATTAATCTGACCACAGCCCTGGGCTCCCTTGCCAATATCGCCCGCCAGAGACCCATGTTCATGTCGGAGGTGATCCAGGCCTATGAAACCCTGCATGGTAGGTCAACCAGCTCCCCTGCCACTCCGCCAGCCAGTCTGCTCCTTTCTTAAGGAAATGTGAGCTGAGGCTGCCCCGCCTTAGTGTCAGCCATTGCTCTAGCCTGCTGTGGGCACACTGTGTTATATGGAGATTGGTGTGTGCCAGAAACCTGTCCCAGACTCTGCCTTCCATATTGAGATGTGTGTGAGTGAAATGACATGATATCTGTGAAATACTGTCTAATATTCCAGCTTCTCCTCCAGCCCTCACCAAAAAGGGAGGCTAGATGTCCCAGAATCAGCAAAACGTTTGTTAGTGAGTACGTGGAGACTCATAATATTTTCTCTGCTTCTGTGCATGGATGAAAACTGGGAAGTTGGCCTGAGGTGTAAATATGTACAGGTCATGGATTGGTCTGTTGTTGGGTGGCTCTTATTGTCTCTGTGTTGGCTTCTTGCCTTGATATCTGGCTCTTTTCTTGGGGTAGCAAAGATGGCCTCCCATAGCTCTAGGCTTCCATTCCATCTGCTTAGCAACTCCAGAAGAAAGAGTGTCCGTTGCCCCATCATTCCGCCCAAAGTCCAAGGGCTGATGCTCATTGTTTCTGATTGGTCAGCAGAGATTATTAGCCTATTTCTGAGCCAATCACAGTGGCCAAGGGAATGCTGTCTTACTGGCTCCAGGTCTCATTCCCACTTGGATGGAGAATGGAGACAGAGTGGTTCCCTCAAAGGGGAATGGGAGTGTTGTTGGCTGAAGAACAGACAGTGTACACAGGACAGACTAAATTACAAACATCCTCTTTGGCTCCAGACCAGGGGAGACTAGCTCATCAAGGTGACCATCTAACCCTGGAGTGTCATTCTGGTAGCAGGGAGACCAGCATGAGCTGTGGCACCTGTTCGGTAGGGAGTTTGTGAGGTGAAGGTGACAGTTACCTCCCTGCTTGTGAGAAGCATTTGGAATCCAGACCAGAGATAGAGGGACTTAAGACTTAATGTTTAATAACACAGAGGCTGCTTTTCTGCTTAAGGGACTAATAACACTGATGGAGGCTTCTCAAGGGTTCTGTGCACCAGCTTGTAAGGGGAGAGCTGTACTCTAGATCCAAGGCCATAGGAACTTTCCTAGGCTGGGCCCGTGGAACCCCTGCCTGAGTTTAAGGTTGGGGGTTAAGACTAACAGGACCCCAAGATCCTTTCCCAGTGTAAAGCCCCAGCCTCTTTCCCCACAGCCAACCTGCCCCCAACACTGGCCAAATCTCAGGTGAGCAGCGTGCGCAAGAACCTCAAGTTGCACCTGTTGAGTGTGCTCAAGCACCCGGCCTCCTTGGAGTTCCAGGCCCAGATCACCACCCTGCTGGTGGACCTGGGCACACCGCAGGCTGAGATCGCCCGCAATATGCCCAGCAGCAAGGATGGCCGCAAGAGGCCCCGAGATGATTCGGACTCCGCACTTAAGAAGATGAAGCTAGGTGAGCTGAGGGCCGAGGCCAGGCCTGGTGGGGATGGGTGCGGGGGTGGACCCTGCTAGAGGTGTTTATTCACAGGCAACTATATACGTTATTTGTGTGAGTATTGAAATTGTGTTACATAATAAGATGACGTATAAGAGGTACTGTTGATAATTACCCAGGCATATGATACACTGTACAGAAAGGAATAAAATGAAAGTAGTCCTGAGCTTATCCCTCTCCCCAAAAGTAACCACTCCTCAAGTGTGAATGTTTCCTTTCATTTTCTATCAGAAGCACTTTATATGTATAGAGTTTTCCTTTGTTCTGTTGGTGGCACTGGGGATTGAATCCAGGGCCTTCACATCCCTGGCTTTTTTTTTTAATAGGTCTTGCTAAGTTGCTGAGGCAGAACTCAAACTTGAGATCTTCCTGCCTCAGCCTCCCAAAGGGCTGGGGTTACAGATGTGTGCCACTACACCTAGCTTGTGTTTTTTACTAATGTTGATAACTATGGCAGTTTCCTTAACAACAAAAACTTTTTAAATACCACTTATGTTTATTATGAAGGACTAATTTCATACTAAAAAAATAAGAATTTACTGGGTATACCTATAATCCCAAGAGTAGGGAGGCTGAGGCAGGAGGATCCCTGTGAGTGTAAGGCCAGCCTGGGCTACATAGAGCAAGACCCTGTCTCAAAAAAATAAAGCACGTGGAAAGCATAGACTTCCATACCTCAGATGTGGGCATGTGTTTAGGGGCAGAACCTAGAAGTAGAATTGCTGTGTCAAAGAGATGTGCATATTTAAATTGTGACTTGCTGTCTCAGTGGTGTGTTTATGTTTCCACATTCTACATCCCTGCTACCTGTAACTACATTTTTTTTTTTTTTTTTTTTTTTTTTTAGTACAGGGGATTGAACTCGGGACCTTGCTCTTGCAAGGCAGGCAGCAGAACTGCTGAGCTAAATCTCTGGCCTCCTAACCTTTTTAATTTTTTCACAGATAGGCAAAAACAGGCCCAGGGATTTAGCTCAGTGGTTCCACCGCCTGCCTCGCAAGCACAAGGACCTGAGTTCAATCGCTGGTACCAAATTAAAAAAAAAAAAGCAAAAACATACTGTCTTATTAGGTTTGGGTGGGTTTTTTGTTTGTTTTCTGCATTTCCCTGATTCCTAGTAAAGTTAAACACTGTTTCGTAGACAGAGGTTTATATACAATACAGCTCTAAAATTATTAGTTGACTTTTTATAACCAGCCTTGTATCTGGGGTTGGGAGTGTAAGCCGTTGATGGAGTGCTTGTGTAGCATACATGAGGCCCTGAGTTTCATCCCCAGCACCACAAAGAGAAACAATAATAGTAATAATATTGTCTTCTTAGGGCTTAGTGGGGTCAGCTACTGGGGTTTGGCTTATTCGCATCCAAAATGAGGAGAACTGAGGCTGAGAAAGAGGGAGGTTGTTGCCCAAGGTCACATGGTGCCTTGATGGTGGAGGTGGGACTGCAGCCTGGTTCCTTGTCCCTGGGGCTGCTCATATTCGCCGTGGCTGGCCTAGCCTGGGGACCACCTGGGCTCTCTGGGAAGACGGCTGCTGCTCTCTTTAGCCTATGTCTTGTTCTCCCCTCCTATCCCAGAGCCCAACCTAGGTGAAGACGATGAGGACAAGGATTTGGATCCTGGCCCCTCGGGGACCTCAAAGGCTTCGGCCCAGATTTCAGGCCAGTCAGACACAGACATCACGGCTGAGTTCCTGCAGCCTCTGCTGACACCCGACAATGTGGCCAACCTGGTGAGGACTCTGGGGACTCTCTGCCATGGTGGGAGAAAGGGCTTCCTCTCCTTCCCTGCCTCCTCCGCACTGGCTGCATCCTCCAGATGTCTGTGATGGGAGGGGTGATCCAGAAGTCCGTCCTTCAGGAGGTCACTTGTGACCATCACCCAGTGGTCTCCCTGGGTGATCTCAGTCCCCACCTGAGTCCATTCACACCACTCACTGTCTTCCTCTCCTGTAAGCGGAGAGGCAGGGGCCTGTGATGGAATTGGTTTTGGGTGGGATTGGCTTTCTCTGACTCCAGGGATGCTGAGCTCCATGAGCGCAGCCCCTGGGGGTCTCATTCACTGCCCTTTTCCCCTGCACTGGCCCAGGCATGGGACTGGCGCTTCTGGAGTTCGTGATCACGAGGGGCTCCTTCCCTGGCCTCACAGGTCCTCATCAGCATGGTGTATCTGCCTGAGACCATGCCTGCCTCCTTCCAAGCCATCTACACCCCCGTGGAGTCAGCAGGCACCGAAGCCCAGATCAAGCACCTGGCTCGGCTGATGGCCACCCAGATGACGGCGGCAGGACTGGGTCCAGGTGAGTGGCCCGGAGCAGGGCTTGAGGCTGGGTTCTTCTCAGCAAGCCACAGGCCCAAGGGCAGGATGTGTGCTCAGTGTTTTCAGTCCCAGGCTTAGGGCCGGGGATTTAGCTCAGTGGTTCTACCGCCTGCCTTGTAAGCGCAAGGTCCTGAGTTCAATCCCTGGTACCAAAAAAAAAAAACCAAAAAAACAAAACAGCAACCACAGCAGCATCAGCCCCAGGCTTTGAAATGAGATGGACCTGGGTTTGAGTCCACATTGAACTAGCTGCTTCATCCACTTAATTGCTGAGTGACACATGGGTTACATAACCTTTCTGAGCTCACACTTTTCCTTATTTCAGCAGTACTTTTGAAGTATGTGTACAGTGAAATGCACAACTCTAAATTGTATGCCTGAGTGAATTCTCACAAAGTAAAAATAGCAGGGTAACCACCACCCAGATGGAGATACAGGCCATTTCCACCACTCTAGAAATTCTCTGGCTCCGTTCCAGTCACTGCTCAGGGCTCCTCACCTCTGGAGATGACCAGTGCTCTGACTTCGGCCTCCACAGCGTAGTTTGTTTTTTCTTGAACTTCATGTAAATGGGATGACAGAGGTTGGGTACTTTTGCTTACCGTAAGTTTTTGAGTTTTGACTCATGCTGCCATGTGAACTAGTAGTTTATTTTTTACTGCTCAGCAGTCTTCCCTTATGTAAATATATTGCCACTTTGTCCACCCTCCTATAGTCTTTTGAGACGTACATGCCCTCATCTGTGCTGTGTTCAGTAGTGGCGCTGTTGGGCTGTGGGGTAGGTGTGATCAAAGCTGTAAAAACTAGCCAGGCGTGGTGGCACATGCCTGTGATCCCAGCACTCAGGAGACTGAGGCCAAAGGATTGCAATGAGTTCAAGGCCACTCTGGGCTACATAGTGATTTCAGGGCCAGTCTGAACTACACAGTGAGACCCTGTCTCAAAAAAAGCTGTAAAAACTGCTTGTCATGTTTCTAACGTGGCTGCACATGGCCAACGCGATGCTCCCTCCAGCAGTGAATGGCATTTCTGGCTTGATTCTCAGCTAGTACCTTAGAAAATAGGTTTAAAAGAAGAACTGCTCCAGGATGGCGTTGGACGCATTCCCAGGGTATTATTACATGGGTGCTATGGTGGAAGCAGGCAGGTGTAATATGCTAGAGGCCTCTTTGCTGCCTCCCTCTAGGCGTGGAGCAGACCAAACAGTGTAAGGAGGAGCCCAAGGAGGAGAAGGTGGTGAAGCCAGAGAGCGTCCTGATCAAGCGGCGCCTGTCCGCTCAGGGCCAAGCCATCTCAGTGGTGGGCTCGCTGAGCTCCATGTCCCCCCTGGAGGAGGAGGTGCCCCAGGCCAAGAGGAGGCCAGAGCCCATCATCCCTGTCACACAGCCCCGGTGAGTTCCCCGCTAGGTGCTGGAAAGGGCTGGGAGCCCTGCCTGAGAGGTTTGGTTCTCAGTTCCTCTGGGTGGGTGGGTGGGTGTGTGTGTGTGCACGCGTGTGTGTGTGCGCGTGCGTGTGTGTGTGTGTGTGTGTTCTCAGTTCCTCTGTGTGTGTGTGTGTGCGTGCACGTTACACACAGAAGATCTGAATGAGGTTTTCATTCCAGAATCAGCTGTAACCACCTTATGTCTAAATTTAGAATAGTTAATATCTTTCTCATAAGAATGGAGGGAAAACTACATTTTTCCCGGTGATGGTCAGGTAACTCCATTTTTAGGTCTTAGGGTTGAGAGTGAGTGTGACAATCATGTGGCCTGCTTCCTGACTCATTGCCTGGTCCCATCGTCCTTGTTCTTTGTGTCCCTTACAGCCACAAAATCCAGTCAGTCTGCTCCAGCCCCACCAAGGCTTGCTCAGGGCACAGTATGACCTGCCACCCCTCTAGGCCCTCTGCTCCTTTCCCTGTCACAGCCACAGCAGGTCCCTTTGGGGATTTTCTACTCACTCCCTGCCTGGGAGGCGCGGCGCCTGGGTCCTGGTACATCTTGTTCCCGCGCTCACACTGCTCTCCTCAGGCCTCCGTGTCCTCTTCCTTACTCCTTCCCCTTACCAGTCGGGCCTCAGAGTCCTGGGGTGTTAGGAGGCAGCATGAGGGACAGATAGTTGTAGGGAAAGGGAAAGGGGACCTTACCAGAGCTCCCTGCAGTGGGTCCTGGTCTCCTGTGAGATAGGAGAGTGGGAAATAAAGACAGAGTCAGAGACGAGAGAAACTGAGTCTTGGGCTGATCTAAGCTGCTCTGGACAACAGAGACAAAGACCCCCAAGGACACCCAGTGTTGTTTACAAGCATGGGAAGGAGGGAGCTGGGCCTTGGGACCCTGCTGATAACAAGTGTCAAACAGGCAGGACTGTACAGTGAGGACACAGCATATCTTTGCTGAAGAGAACAAACAGTTAATTCTAAAGGGGAGAATTTAGTTGGAGCCAGTTGGCCTTGGCTGGAAGTGAGTTCAGCTGAGCCCTGCTACTCCATGGACTGGGACTTAAGTCTCGGTAGCAGCCATTAGCAAAGGCACAATACTAGCCCAACTGTGTTATCTGACACACTCATTTGAATCACATAAGCTTCGGTCAGACTCCTGAAACATACGCAGCCAGATTATAGAGGAGCAAGAAGCTTGTGCCACTACAGGCTGCTAATCCTGGGCAGAGCTGCCTGCTGCAGATAGTGCCTGTGTGGCCTGCCTCGTCCCCGAGTGATGAGTCACCAGATGGGCCTGGGCTTCAGCAAGGACGCTCCACGTCTCTGTGTCCTTGTCCCTACTCTCGCAGGCTGGCAGGTGCTGGTGGGCGCAAGAAGATTTTCCGTCTGAGTGAGGTGCTGAAGCCCCTGACGGACGTTGAGGTGGAGGCCATGAAGCTGGGTGCCGTGAAGCGGATCCTGAAGGCTGAGAAAGCTGTGGCCTGCAGCGGGGCGGCCCAGGTATGCCATCCCCAACCCTCTTCCCGAGGACCAACCTTGTGTCGCAGGGAGAGACCCCTCCCTCCCCCTGCGTTGCCCCTCCCTAGCTACCGACACCAGCACAGCTGCTGTCCACCGCTTCTCTGGCCCTGCTGCTGTCCTCCAAGAAGCAGAGACCGGGCGGCAGTTCTGTGGTGATGGAGACAGAAGAGAAACGCACAGGCGCACACATGCACGGGGCTGGCGCCAGAAGTGCTGCTCCTCTGGCCCTGGTTCTTTGTGGGTCTTAACCTTCTTCGTAGTATTTACTTCAGACTACCTGGTTGTAAATCCCGATTCTGCCACTTGTTGCTGTTGTACCACATTCAAGCAAGTTTTTCCCGTTCCTTTTCTTTTTTCTTTTTGTACCAGGGATTGAACACAGGACCATGTGCTTATGAGGCAGGCGGCAGAACCACTGAGCTGAATCCCTGGCCCTTTGAAGTTAATTTTTGCTTGACCAGTCATATTACACAATATTTCCAGGCAGTACAGTCTTCCTTCGCTGTTATCTGCATCCTGTCCCCTCCCCAGCGGTGACATTATGCACAAATTAAGTGGATCTTTCAGGATCTTTTTCTGTGTTCTCGGGTACCCAGGTACTCCTCTTGGAAAGCCCCTTTTATTCAGTGACAGTTGATGTTTTGTTTCTCTCCCTTTGCCTCTGCTCTGCCACAAACAGGCCCTGCTGGGCATAAGGTTCTTCTGCTTCCTTCCTCATGTCTGCAGTTGGGTCCTGAGCCTGGGCCAGGAGTGTCAGGGTGTGGTTTCAGGGGACTCTGATTACCCCCCGACACATCACACTGACACACCTGCTTGCTGTCCTCTCAGGTGCGCATCAAGATCCTGGCCAGCTTGGTGACACAGTTTCACTCAGGCCTCAAGGCCGAGGTCCTGTCCTTCATCCTGGAGGATGTGCGGGCCCGCCTGGACCTGGCCTTCGCCTGGCTCTACCAGGAGTACAGTGCCTACCTAGCAGCCGGATCCTCCGGCTTCCTGGACAAGTACGAGGACTGCCTCATCCGCCTGCTGTCTGGCCTGCAGGAGAAACCAGACCAGAAGGATGGGTGGGTGAGGGGTGGCCCTGTGCCCTCCTGTCCCCCACCTTGCTTTCCCTCCCTCTTCTCTGCCACCCCTGTGATATTCCCCACACCTGCCTGTGTCTTCCTTCTCTCCTCTGCCTCTCTGCCCCAGTGGTGATGGCCTCTGTTCGCCATCTGTGATAACAGTTCCTGTCCCAAGGGCTTGTGTCGTAGCTTCCTCTCTTTTCTTAGCCTCTGGCACCCGTTTGCCATCCCACACGGCAACCCCAGTGATACTTTAAATTCTTTCTGGTTACACTAAGAACCTTCCACGGTTCCCCCTCGCCTTGGGATAAAACATGGCTTCTTTTTGTCACCTCCCCAAGACTTTATCAGCATTGGTCTTCAGTCTGTTCCTCCACCCTCTAATACAGGGCCTGGCACCTACTGTTCCCTCTGCCTGTGCCCCAGCACTTCGTGTGGCCAGGTCCTTCTCAGCTCTGCCTTCTCCATACCCCATTCCTTCTTCCCACGTGGAAGAGGGAGAAACTGGGTTTCAGAGAGGGTGAGTCTCTACCTGAACCAGCCCACTGGCAGCTTTGGAGACACAGCCTGTCATATCCAAAGCTCTGTGGCCAGGGGCTGAACAGCTATCCCTGCAGTTGGGGCTGGGGTTGGGCTGCTGGGCTTCTCTGCAGCTCTGCTCTGTGCCTCTCCCTGGCAGGATCTTCACAAAGGTCGTGCTGGAGGCGCCGCTCATCACCGAGAGTGCCCTGGAGGTGATTCGCAAGTACTGCGAGGACGAGGTGAGGAGGGGAGGCAGGGTCCTGCTGGGGGCCTGAAGGGCACACAGCCCGGACCTGGCTGGGGGGCTGGCCTGATGATCGGGGCCCAGAGACAGACCCTGAAGGTGCCCTGCAGCAGGCTAACCTCCCTGGCCCTCCGCAGAGCCGCACCTACCTAGGCATGTCCACACTCCGAGACCTGATCTTCAAGCGTCCGTCCCGCCAGTTCCAGTACCTGCATGTGCTCCTAGACCTCAGTTCCCATGAGAAGGACAAGGTGATCCCGCACCATGCGCTGGGCCACATTCAGCAGTTCAGAAAGGCCTTCGTATGTCCCCAGGACACAGCCCAGCCTTTTTCACAATCCCCTGAGTTTTGTTGTTTTTGGGGTCGGGGAGCCTCTTAGGAGGGATGTTGTGCCTGCCTCGTGCACTTGCCCCTGTGGGAAGGGAGGCCCATTCTGTCTTATGGGAGGAGGGGATGGGGATCAAATCCAGGGCTGCATCCCATCCCATTTATTTTGAGGCAGGTCTCAACCCATAAATTGGCTAGGCTGGGCTTCTACTTTGCAGTCTTCCTGCCTCAGCCTCCCAGGAGTGCTGGGATTACAGGTGTGCAGCACCACACTCAATTCCTTTTTTTTTTTTTTTTTTTTTTTAATTTTTTAGTTTTGAGACAGAGACTTCCTAAGTTAGTAAGTTACCCAGGTTGAGCTCAAACTTGTGATTCTTCTGCCTCAGGCTCTGAGGGCTGAGATGGCATTCCTGGCTCCCACTCATACTGTTGCTCCCATGTTGGTGAGCTCGAGCTCCTCTTAAGACCCAAAGCCTGGAACCTGAGGCGCCAACCAGTCAAGGAGCCAGTGTGACCACAGGCAGTGAGGACCTAGCATGTTTAGTACCTGGAGATGTGGCCACCCCGTCTTCTTGGGGGTCACCGGGGAGATATCTCAAGACATCTGCCTGGAGAAGGGGAGCTGTGAGCGAGATCTGAGCCGTGAGCAGGCGGGTGTGCTCTAGACAAGATGTGCGTGTGCCTGCTCCGGCTGCCGGTGTGTGCTCAGGCTGCTCTGTGCTCCTCTGGCCCTGGCCCTCGCTGCTGTTAGGAACAAAGCAGTGCCCAAGACCAGGCCCTGTGCTCATGGCTCCCAGCAGATGGTGTCTGAGCGAAGCGGGGATTGCTTAGCCGGTGATGGGCATGCCAGGCAGTGGGGAGACTTGGCAGGCAGCGTTGCTTTTGAGGAATCGAGGGAAGTGTGGTTTGTTGGCAAGGAGGTGGAGTGAGGTGACAGGGCGGGCCCTTCTCCAGCGGGCTGTGCCTTCACCCCAGCCACTCGCCCCTAGGTGCGTTCCCAGGCCCTGCTGTTCATCAAGCGCATGTATGAGAAGGAGCAACTGCGCGAGTATGTGGAGAAATTTGCCCTCAACTACCTGCAGCTCTTGGTGCACCCCAACCCACCGTCTGTGCTTTTCGGGGCCGACAAGGACACAGGTGCATTGGACGCATACTGAGCCCTGCCCACGTGCTGGGGAGGACAGCTGACCTTGCCTGAGGGCCCACAGGGGACCTAGAGGCTAAGGAGGGCTAAGTGTTGGCTCCAGAGAGGGCCATGTTGGGCCTGTCCCTTGGCAGGGCTCCAGGTCCTCCAGAATCAGACAGGGAGCCCTGGGCCGGGTTAACAGGCCCTTACATGGGAAGGTTGGGGCTGGGATGGAGAGGCCCAGCCCAGTGCTGTGAGGCTTCCCAGCGGGTAGGAGGCCTGGAGCCGGGCTTGTGTGAGCAGAGCTGGTAATCCAGGCAGAGGAGACGGTGGCACAAAGGCTCTGAAGTGCGGGGCTTAGGAACTTGAAGGAGAGGCGGGGTGGTGGCCAGGCTCAGGCTGGTGCTGAGCTAGTGCTGCCCCTTACTGCACCTGGCAGATAGGGAAGACGAAGAGCCGGGAGCTAGGTCCTCACTGCCTGTGGTCACACTGGCTCCTTACCTGAAGCCATGGGGCAGTTGTGGAAAGACCTGAAAAGGGTCAGGGTCAGAACTGCACTTGAGAGGGATCCTTCTGGCTCTGGCTTGGAGGTCAGAGGAGGCTGTAGGTGGAAGTCCTGGGCCCACTCCCCTTCCCTGGATGAAGTCGCTTCCCAGTCCTGGCTCCTTTCTCCACCCACCCCTGCTTCCCACTGACCTGCTCTGCTCCCAGAGAAGGGCCAGGCGCTGGGCATGGGTTGGGAGAGGAGGCCAGTCTGATACCCACCCTGCCCCATCAGAGGTGGCAGCACCCTGGACTGAGGAGACGGTGAAGCAGTGTCTGTACCTCTACCTGGCCCTCCTGCCTCAGAACCACAAGCTGATCCACGAGCTGGCAGCCGTGTACACCGAAGCCATTGCTGACATCAAACGAACAGTGCTGAGGGTCATCGAGCAGCCGGTGAGGCCCCCGAGCCCAGCAGGGCCCTGGGAGGCTGAGACCCCAACTCCAGTCCCTCCCTGGGTGTCTCCACCTCAGTGTGTGCTAAGCACAAAGGACAGTCACCCCTGTAGCTCTTCCACCTCCTCATGTCACCCCCAGTTCGTGAGAACAAATAGGGTAGCCCAGCAGATGAGAGCCTGGAGTAGGAAGACCTCCGTTCTCCTGGGCCCCTGGGCCCCTGAGTAAAAACGGGGTGGGGGTCATCCAGGCCCGTGGCTGAGGGAGTCTGAACTCACAGCATCCACTGCTGTCACGAGCCGGCCTTCCCCGTGCTGCTAGAGGGAATCTTTGGTTGTCTTTACAGAAAATAAGCCCCTCCTGCCCTTTTCCCTGAGTCACGGGGTTGCTCACGGGGAAGCAGCTGTGTAGCAAACCAGCAGCTGCAGTGTGCAGTGTCCACCTGCACTGCAGCTGGGTTTGAAACTGCTTGTTTATATCTCATCTCTGCCCCTGACTTTTACAAAATTATTATGGAAATTTTCCAACAAAAACAAAGGGAGAGTGAATGCCATGTTAGTCCCCACATAGCCGACTCCCAGGTTTGCTGGTCTCCTTACCTATAAAATGGGATTCTAGTTGAAGCAAATTTAATCAGTTTTTAAGATGATCCAACTTCAGTTTGCAGAGCCCCTGGGGAAAAAGCCCCTGCGTGAGCAGACCAGCGCAGAGCAGTGCCCTTGCACTGAGGGTTTCCTTCACAGCCATGAACTTGGCTGGGGACAGGAATCTGGCCCCCGCTCCTTGTGTTTGGCTCCAGAAGCAGCAGCAAGTTGAGCCTTGGTCTGGGCAGTCAGCAGTGACGGCACCATGAGAGCCAGGAAGGCCTTCCCCAAGGGGTCAAGGCCCCATCTGGGCATTAGAAGTACTTAGGGCTAAGACGACAGAGGGCTGCCCTGCTAGGGAGGACAGTACAGAGAGGCCACAGTGCTGGAGCAAGTCTTGCCTAAAACAAGATACCATGCCCCCCGTGCCCAGGTCTCCCCGGTCCACACCCCACCCACCAACCTGGCCTTCTCCAGCCCTCACCCTCATCTCCTGACCTCTGCTTTTAGATCCGAGGGATGGGCATGAACTCGCCAGAGCTGCTCCTGCTGGTGGAAAACTGCCCCAAGGGGGCGGAGACACTGGTCACCCGATGTCTGCACAGCCTCACAGATAAAGGTGCCCCAGGCACCCCCATCTTTTACCCTGTCTGCCCCTGCTGGGTCCCTGCAGTGCCTCTTGTGAGTCTCCATTCCCTGGGCCTCAGGTTCTCCAGCTAAAGCAGCGTGGCACCAACTGCCTGGGAGAAACCAGGGGCCGCAGGTCCTGTGGAGTCGACCCTCCCACGGACCCACCCCGCCCCCTCCCTCTGGGTGGTCACCTTGCACCCTCCCCACTCACCCCAACTCTGCTTCCTGCTGCTTCTGCCCGCAGTCCCTCCCTCCCCGGAGCTGGTGAAACGGGTCCGAGACCTCTATCACAAGCGGCTACCCGATGTCCGCTTCCTCATCCCCGTGCTCAATGGGTTGGAGAAGGTACGGGCGGCTGCTGGCCCCCTTCAGCAGGCGGGCTGGAGTGAGCAAAAGCACAGAAGGGTGGGAACCACGTACTTGCTGTGCCAGGCTGTCGCTTGGGTCTGCTTCCGCCCTGCCTCACCCTCTTAACTGCGAGCCGGTCACTTGTCCTCTCAGAGCCTTAATTTCCTCACCTGTCGGGAAGCTCACAGTGACGTCCTACGTGTGTGGACGCACATCGTCGTCTTGAGGCCTGCATGGAACTGCAGCTGTACAGCTGTCCCCAACGTGGGGTGTGGTCCCTCAAAGCTCTGTGCCTGGGGGTCCCGCCCTGAGGAGCTGTGGGGCCTGGAAAGAACCGCAGTTGTGCCTGGAGGGGATGAGGGGGACCACATCCTGAGTGCACCCCGTCCGTGACCTTGGGGTGGGTGTGTCTGACATGCTGCCCACCTCACCCTGTCCCTGTAGAAGGAAGTGATCCAGGCCCTGCCTAAACTCATCAAGCTCAACCCCATCGTGGTGAAGGAGGTCTTCAACCGCCTGCTGGGCACACAGCATGGTAGGTGATGCACCCCCTCCCTGCCAGGGGCCAGCTGGACCCTGTCTGCAACTGCCCTACCCAGGGAGGCTTCCTTTTGGGAGAGGAGTCACCTCCTCTCCGTGGTGTTTCCTGTACTTGTCTCAGTATGTGTTCCGGCGCCTAGCCTGGGGTTCTGGTCCTTCCTCAGATCCTACCCAAACCCCTCACGTTGGCCGCAGGGACATTTTATCTGACAGTCAAAAGGAAACAAATCTTTGAAGGCGGGAAAACTACCAAGTAGTGTAGTGTGGCTCCCACACCCCTCAGCCCTGTGTCTGTACAGCACCTGCCTGTTGAGCACACACCACACAAGCAGGTTTCAGGACAGCCAGAGAGCTCCAGCAGAGCCACCTCCTCTGGGCCCCGATGCATTGGAAGGCTCCAGTCACTTCTGTTAAGTCCATTGCTGGCTTTGTTCTGCCCTGTCCTGTCCTGAAAACTCCTGCGGCTGTCTGTGCCCTGCTGGAGTCAGTGCTGGGATCCTGTGATGGACCAGTCCTGGCCCTGCCTTTGGGAGTGCATAGCCCACTGGGGAGTGAGGACCATGCTGTGCCACCCAGCGTGGCTGTGACGAGGATGGGGACCTGAGGCTGCTTTACTCCCAGTCTTCCCTTGTCCTATTCTCTGTCCCCCAGTCCCCAGGAACGCCCCCCCAGACTGGGGAGTGTGGACCCCTCTCCTCACTTAGGCCTCCATACTGTCCCCCCCACTGCCACTGCTGCAGGTGAAGGGAACTCAGCTTTGTCCCCCTTGAACCCCGGAGAGCTCCTGATCGCATTACACAACATCGACTCAGTGAAGTGTGATATGAAATCCATCATCAAAGGTGAGGCATCCTTCCCTGTCTGTGGTCCAGTCCTGTGCACCACAATCCCCGCTGGAATCTGCACGTGGAAGACCATGTCACCTGCAGCCCCTCCCTCCCAGGTCCTGCCCTTCTCTATAGGGCACCTTGGGGATGGGGGCACTTCCTAGCCACAAGGAAGAGAAAGAAGCAGAGCCCAGGTAAGCCCTGGTCAGAGGCTAAGCCGGCCTTGTAGATGGAGGCAGGAAGAGTGCACCTCCCCAGCAAGGGGTTGGCGAGCCTGGCCAGCTGTCAGTGCCCTCCGCTCTGAGGCGGCTCTCCCTTAAGGCCCGTGGGCCTGCTCTGCTGACCCCTCATGTTGCTTGGTAAGTTGTTGACTGTGTTTTGTAGACAGGAAGTGGAGTTTCAGAGAAGTTAGGTGACCTGTTTAGGGCTACATGTTGTGCTGGGAAACACTCTGAACTAAAGTACGCCTGAGGTGGAGGTTCTGCCTCCATGCACTCTGGGTCCTGGGGCCACCTCCCCCGAGAAGCCACCGCCTCAGCTCTCTCCAGGGCCCACCCTCCCTCCCCGAGAGGCCTCTGGATCAAGATCTTTTCTTTGCCAGGAGGCGGAGGCCCTGCCTGTCGCCCTCTGAAGCCGGCTGTCATTTGCTTCCTCTTCTCCTCTTGGGTGGGGACTTGCTCGCTGTGCCTCTTTGTTCTAGCTTTCGATGGCTTCTCTCCTACCCCCCTGCCCCAGCAGTTTTTCAGCAACTTCTCAGGTCAGGAGAGAAGCTTATGACAGGGTGACCCTGAGGAGGTACCAAGGCCTCTGGTGGAAGAGCAGCAGGAGAAGAGGGTCTCGAAGGTTATGGTCTAGGACAGTGGTCTAGACCCCCAGCCCCTTCTTCCTTGTCTTTCTGTGGTGCTGGGGGTGGGACCCAGGGCCTCGCTGCCATTGAGCCCCACCTCCAGCCCCTCCTGACCCGTTTGATTCACCAAGGAAGGTTCTGGCCCACTGCCAAGGCAGTGTGTTCACATGCTTTATGCTCACGCGTGAGCCACCCCCGCTAAGGCCATCTGGGGTCCAGAATGCAAGTCCTGTCCCGCTCCGTGCTGTGGTACTCACGTGATCCATGGCCCAGGAAGAAAAGGGCCTTGTAGAGGCCACTGAGGTGGCCATTAGCCAAGGCCTGGTGGCAGCAGCAGGGCACAAAAGGGCGCACCCTTTACCTCCCCCCCTTGCTCTCGCACACTTGGGCCTGTCACCCCCTCCATTACTGCCAGCTCCTCTGCTGCCCGTCCCGGTAACTTCCTGCTGTGCTAGCTCGCCTGCTGTTAGAACCGGGTTGAGAAGTCCCGTCCTGTCCTGTGCATCACATCCCCTTCCTGCCATTTTTTTCCCCCACATATTAGCGCAAGAGCAGTGAGAAGAAAAAGATCTGCAAGTTACAGTTCAGGGCTACGCTCCTCACACTCCCTGCTTCCCCTTTTTTGGTGGAGCGCTCGGGATGGAACTCAAGACCTCATGCATGCTCAGCTTGTGCTCTCCTTCTCCACTACGTGATGTTTCGGCAGTTAGGGAGACTCACTGAGCACTGCGTCTCAGCCTTAGGCTGCGTGGTGCTGGAGTCACAGCACGGACAGTGACAGCCCCAGCCCAGAACTCCAGGGTTCACAGTCCGGAGAATGAGCTGACCTGACCCTGGACAGTGACAACTAAGCAGACAGACCTGTGACAGGGCAGCCATGGGAGCCCCATGCCAGCCTGGCAGGGGAGGGGCCGCCCACCGCGAGCAGGGAGAGTCGGGAGGCCAGAGGCCGGGCTGTGTTTGTGGCCACCCTGAACCTGCTGAGGGCCCGGGCTGGAGGGAGGGAGGAGCCCTGCCCCGGCTGCCCACACGGAGTGGGAATTTGGCCTTGTTCTCAGAGGAGGAGGTCCAGGCTGAGCTTTTGGTAGACCCCACAGGCTGCCTTTTAGAGTGCTGATTAGGGACTGAGTGGGAGGCCCAGAGGAGCAGGAAGGGCCAGCTCTGGGGGCCTTCGATGGCAGGCAGGACAGGGCGCAGAGCTCCTTGGCCAGGAGGAGAGAGATGCGTGCTGCTGCAGTTTCTTTCTCGTTACCCTGTACCCACTCGGCCTCCTCTCTGTCCTGTAACGCCTTCCCCTCCCTGTCCCATACAAGACCACCCCACCCGATCAGGCAGTAGGGCGCAGAGCTCCTTGGCCAGGAGGAGAGAGATGCGTGCTGCTGCAGTTTCTTTCTCGTTACCCTGTACCCACTCGGCCTCCTCTCTGTCCTGTAACGCCTTCCCCTCCCTGTCCCATACAAGACCACCCCACCCGATTCTCCACTAGCCTCTCAAGGATGGGGGCCCTCTCTTCTGGCTCAATAAAGATTTCCTGGTTGACAGACTCACATGGTAACTGGTGTTTGGGCAAGGGCTTCAGAGGCAGCTCCTGGGGTATCCTCATTAGCATAGTGGCTCAGGGCTCTGCCACCACTTCTGAGGGAGCAGGCCCGTGGCTGGCCTGGGGGTACACGTGTAGCACTAGCCCTCTGGGTCCTTCTGTACTGGGTACTGAGCTGGGGACTTGACCGCAAGCCCAGCAGCAGCAGCGCAAGCCTTTATTCCCTCGAGCAGCCTTCGGGCCTGTGCCCCTCCGGAGGGGACTGCGGAAGTCAGTAGCTGCCCTGGGAGAGGACTGGAGGCGCCTGCTTCCCCATCAGGCACTGTCCTCAGGAGGGGCCGAGCTTCCCGGGTGGGGCGGCTGGCGGAGAGCACAACGGGCTGCTCTCGCCTCACAGCCACCAACCTGTGCTTCGCGGAGCGGAACGTGTACACGTCAGAGGTGCTCGCCGTGGTGATGCAGCAGCTGATGGAGCAGAGCCCCCTGCCCATGCTGCTCATGAGGACCGTCATACAGTCCCTGACCATGTACCCCCGCCTGGGGGGCTTCGTCATGAACATCCTGTCCCGCCTCATCATGAAGCAGGTAACGGACTGGCCGGCTGCACTGAAGGCAGACGGGTGGGACCCCAGCCTTGCCCTGCCTCCACCGGCCAAGCACAGTGTGGCCCCAGGGCTGTGAGGGGGGCGCCTGGGTGGGCTGGCGGGCTTCGGGGTTCATCCCAGCGGTGACACGGCGGCCCCTCATCGCCACCAAGCCAGGATGCACCCTGCCCTTAGATGGTCCAGGTGTTCAAGACGCCCAGAATCGGGGCTTGTAGGAGTACCGGCCACAAGCCCCGCGGCGGGACTGTAAAACGTCTCGCGAAGGCTCGGGGCGGGGCGGGACTGACCTGGGTTCCTCTCCTTTCTGCCGGTGTCTTCCTTCCACCACCTCTGCCTCTGTAACGAGGCCAATGCCGCCCTCTGGAGGCTGCTGCGAGAGTAACATGACGGATGCTTGCCCAGCCGGGCGAGCTGCAGGGAACGGGTGGAGTTGGGAGTCGCTCCGGGTTTTCCAAATCGCCCTGTGTCCCAGCAGCCTGAATCCCCGGGGAGGCAGAGGATTCTGCTTCTCCCTGGGGCCTGGGCTGGGGGTTGCCTGTGCCCCCCCAACGCTCCCGCCCTGCCCGACCAGGTGTGGAAGTACCCCAAGGTGTGGGAGGGCTTCATCAAGTGCTGCCAGCGCACCAAGCCCCAGAGCTTCCAGGTCATCCTGCAGCTGCCACCCCAGCAGCTGGGAGCCGTCTTTGACAAGTGCCCCGAGCTCCGGGAGCCCCTGCTGGCTCACGTGCGCTCCTTCACCCCCCACCAGGTACCTGGGGGCGGTGCGGGGTGGGCCCGGGGTCCGTGGCGTCTCAGAGTCTTCCAAAGCGTCCTCCTGCTCTCCTAGCAAGCACACATTCCCAACTCCATCATGACCATCTTGGAGGCCAGCGGCAAGCAGGAGCCAGAGGCCAAGGAGGCACCTGCCAGCGCCCTGGAAGAGGTGAGGGCCCTGCGCCCGCCTGCCCCAGAGCCCCAGCTTCCTAGCCCTCCCCGTCTCCCGTGTGCTGAGCGAGGGAGTGGGGCGGGGACAACAGCCCGCTGCTGCGCCGCGGTGGTCTCTGCCTCCTCCCCCCTCTCAACACCCCCAGAGCTTCTGTGTGCCCCTCCCCGCCTCAGGACGATCTGGAGCCCCTGGCTCTGGCCCCGGCCCCAGCCCCCCGACCCACTCAGGACCTCATCGGCCTTCGGCTGGCCCAGGAGAAAGCCCTAAAGCGGCAGCTGGAGGAGGAACAGAAGCTGAAGCCGGGGGGTGTGGCAGCCCCTGCCTCCGCCTCCGCCCGGCCCGGGCCTCCCCCTCCCGAGGAGACCATGGATTTCCGGGAGGAGGGGCCCGAGTGCGAAACCCCGGCCATCTTCATCAGCATGGATGAGGACTCGAGTCTCACGGAGGCTGCTCTCCTGGACTCTAGTCTCGAGGGGCCGCTACCCAAGGTACAGTGGCAGCCAACGTGGCAAAGAAAGAGCCCAGCTGGGTGGGGTGCCAAGAGGGCTCCGGTGGGACCCTGCTCTTGACCCCCTGCCCCTTGCCTTCTCCTGCCACCAGGAGGCAGCAGCGGGCGGGCTGACCTCAAAGGAGGAACGGAGCCCACAGACCCTGGCCCCTGCGGGGGAAGAGGCTGCTGTGAAGACGCCCAGCCCAGCGGCCGAGGAAGCAGGGGACCCCGAGACCAAGGGGAACAGCTGACAGCCTGGGAGAGGACAGGAGAGGACGGCAGGGGAGGGAGGCGCTGGCTCCGGGGCTTTGCCTTAAAAGTAAATAAAGGCGATAGCGCTCTGGGGCGTTCTGCACTCCGATCTCTGCCTCCAAGCGGGCTGGGGGGGACACGCGGGGGCGCGCCTGCGTGGACAGCGCTTTCGCGGGTGACCCAACCCAGTAACGGCCCTCACGTCCCGGTCCTTAGGAGGCCCCGACGAGCAGCTGCCTGCAGTGTGCCTGTGGGCGCCTGGTCTGGCCTGCCTTTTTCCTAGAAGTCTGCTCCCCGCTTCTGAGCCATGGGGGATCCCTCAGAGCCCCCTTCTGGGCAGAACTCCAACCGGAGGAGTTTCCAGGGCTCCGAAGAGGTCCAGCAGATGCTTCTGCCCCAGCCGCCGGGCAGTCAAGGGATCCTCACCGACCTGCCCCAGACCTTCCAAGCCACAGAGGCCCCCATGGGCCACACGGAGCCCCCCGGCTTTCCCTTGGGGTCCCAGACCTACGGCTACATGGAGGACAGCAAGACCCTGGCCGGCGAGCACACCACCAACCTGATGCTGCGGCAGCTGCAGCAGGGCCAAGGCGGCCTCCTGCAGCAACTGGAGCCCACTTGCTACTTGCCAGGGGCCAGCTTCCTGAGTCAGTTCGACAGCTACCAGAGAGAGGACCAGCACTTCAGGCCCAGCACCCAGCACAGTCCCTACCCAAGGGACGACCTTGCACCCCCGCGGTTCTCACTCTCAGACCAGAGCTTCTTGTACTACAGCCCCGAGGTGCCTGAGCTCCAGATGCGGGAGCTGGCAGTGCAGAACGCCAAGGCCTATCTGCTGCAGACCAGCATCGGCTCAGACCTCAGCCTGTGAGAGGGGCCGGGAGCGGGGAGGGGGCACCCAGGCAGGGAAGGAACCTGGCCAAGCCCCTACCTCCAACTCTGGGCTCTCAGATGAGACCCGGGACTGGCCTGAGCTCCCACCCAGCTAGGCATGCGGGAAGGTGTGCCAGTCATCATTGGCGTTTCTCACACACCTAGCTCTCCTGTCCTCTGTCCCTGTCCCACAGAGGAGGAGCCTGAGCCCAAAGTCAGGTGTCACTCCTCCAAGATTATGCAGGTAGGATATGACAGAGCCAGGATTCCAGGTCAAATGACTTGGGTCCCGAGTCCACCTACCACTCCTGGGGGCACAGCTTCTGTGCTCCGAGCTTCCTGCTTGAGAAAGGAGCCCCTTAGCTGTGGTCACAAATAACTCTCAGCCTCCATGAGAGACTCATGATGCCCAGAACCTAGAGAGAGAATGGATAGTAAACAAAAATAGTAAGGGAAGCTAGGGGTGGTGGCTCACACCTACAGTCCCAGCTTGCTGAGAGGCTGAGGCAGGAGGATTGTAGATTTGAGTCCAGGCCAGGCAACTTAGCAACTTAGTGAGACCCTGTCTCTAAATGACAAAAAAATTAAAAGCTACAGATGTAACTCAGTATGAAGACCCTGGGTTCAGTCCCTGGTACCAGCAGAAAAATGTGACAGGATAAGGAGGACAGGGCGTGTGAATTGGGCCTAGAGCACTGTGCAGGTAACCACTGTGAAAGGGGTCCAGGGATGGGGCGGGACAGATGCAAAGGCTCAGAGGCTTGTGAGGAGGCAGGTGTGTCTGGAGCCAGGGGAGGAAGGAGAGGAGGAAGAAGAGGTTGATGATGGGTCTTGTGTGCCAGCCATTCCTCTCAGGAGGAAGTGCAGCAGGTGTCGCTCCTCCCCACAGCTTCCCAAGGCCCAGCCCACCCTCCAGAGTCCATTGCTAGTCACTGTCTGCTCCCACCCGAGGGCCTGAAATCCAATCTGAATTAACCTCAAGGTTCCGCCAACAAATCTCACCTCAGGAATCTTCAAGTTTCCTTCTGGAAAAGCCCTGGCTAGTCTCACTTCTCACTCTTCTGGCCGCAGTGAGGGCCTGTACCGCAGCAGGACTGCTGACAGCCAGGCACAGTTGCACACACCTGCAATCCCAACTACCCGGGAAGGTGAAGCAGGAGGATCACAAGTTCAAGGCAGCCCGGGCAGCTTAGCAAAAATAAAAAGGGCTGGGGGTGGGGTAGAGGGCTCACTGGTGGAGTTACTTCCCTAGGAGGTGTGAGGCCCTGGGCAAGGAAAAAACCTGACAATCTACTCAGCTGCAGACAGTGGCACAGACATGCTCTGCAGTTAGACCAGCTTGGTTTCAAATGCCGACAGTGTCACCACTGTGTGACCTTCGGACCTCAACCTCCTGTGTCTTCATCTGTAAAGTGGGGTTCCTGGTTGTGAGACTGCAACATTGCTCTCAAGTGCCTGGCTGTGGTGACTGGCAGTCATTCCTCTATTCAGGTCACACTGACCCTTCTTTCCCCAGCATGCCAGTGGCACCCTCCCAAATGGGCACACATTCCCCCAGTCATAGCGTCTGCAAACTACGACAGTTTTGTTTCTCACCAATCCTATTTTTTTCTTTTCATGTCTTATTGCATTGGCTGCAACCTCCAGAATGTCATTAAATACAAGTGGTTAAAGCAGGTGTCTTTAAGGAAAAAAAAAAAAAGCAGGTGTCTTAGTTACTTTCTCATTGCTGAGACTCAATATCCACCACCAACAAAATAAAGGAGGAGGGATCTACTGTGGCCCACATTTTCAGTCCAGTTCACCTCCTCAAGGCAGGAAGTCATGGTGGAAAGGCCTAGTGGAAAAAACTGCTCACTGCATGGCAACCAGGAAGCAGGGAGTCCAAGGAAGAGCCTGAGAGGGACAGATGTCCTGCCAGGTCACATGCACAGTGCCCAGCTTCTCCTGACCAAGACTACTCCCATAATCGAATCACCTTTTGAAAGCTCCCCATGCAGCCGGTAGGATGGCACACTCCTGTAATCCAAGCACTTGGGAGGCTGAGGCAGGAGGATCACTATGTAGCCCAGACTGGCCTCAAACTCCAGACCCTGTCTTGAAAAACAAATACAAAACACAAAAGCCCCCACATCTGAGTGCATGAGGCTTTGGGGTAACATCTAGATACAATAGCAGGCATTCCTGTTCCCAATCTCAGGGGAAATACTGTTTTTCACTATTGTATTTGATACCAGCTGTTAGTTCATAGTGGCTGCTCCAAGATTGTAAGAGTTATCTAGGCTGGGAATGTAGCTTAGCAATGGAGAGCTTTCGTAGGATATGCGAGGTTCTGGGTTCAACCACCAGCACTGAAGAAAAAAAATTTTTTTTTTTTTTGAAACAAGGTCTCTCTAGGTAGCCCAGCCTGGCCACAAATTCTTGCAGTCCTCCTGCCTCAGCCTCCTGAATGCTGAGATTGTAAGCATGTGCCACCATGCCCAGCACAAGTATTTTCTTTAAAGACTTTCCTGTACTTACTGAGGTGATGTTGTAGTTCTCCTTTGATGTGTGTATGTTAAGCTAGATTGATTGTATTATTTTAAAGTCAGTCCATTCTGCATTCTGACAAAATACTGCTCTAAAACCTGCATGATCTGCCCCTATCTCTCCACACAGATCTCAGCTTTAATGCCACCTCGCTGAGGACTTCTCTGGCCTCCGTTTATTATTTATTTATTTTTGGTATCAGGAATCGAACTCAGGACCCTGTGCTTGCAAGGCAAGCAGGGTTCCACTCAGCTAAATCCCTGGCCTCAGCCTCCCTGTTTAAAACTGCAAAGCACCTCCCCTTCCCAGGCATTTTCCTCACCACCACCACTCCCTGCTTTCTTTGTCACCATAGAAATTACTAGCCGGTGCCTGACACCCTGTATGTTCTGCCTGTTTGGTTCACGTCTGCCTCCATCCTCAGAATGTCACTTCCACCAGACAGGGACCCAGTCTCTGTACCCCGTGTCCTCAGCACCAAGCACAGGGTGAAGCACGCAGCAGCGGCCGCAAGCTGAGCAGTGCTGTGTCCCCCCTGCCCGCTGCTCCCGCGGGAAGCAGGTACGAGCACCTGGTGAACCTTCTGACGAAGATCCTGAACCAGCGACCCGAGGACCCCTTGTCCATCCTGGAGTCTCTGAACCGCACCACGCAGTGGGAGTGGTTCCACCCCAAGCTGGACACGCTGCGGGATGACCCGGAGATGCATCCCACCTACGAGATGGCGGAGAAGCAGAAGGCGCTGTTCGTTAGGGGCGGTGGCGGAGAGCGCCAACAGGAGATAGAGGAGGAGGTGGTAAGCCAGTGGGGTGATGGGGGTGGGTAGGCGCAGGTGTGCTGAGCACCGGAAGTGACTTCCTAGTTTGTGAGCGACCCGCTAGGGGCGGGGCCCGGCCGAGGGTTGTGGGCTTTCTTCTGCGGCCACTAGTGCTCCTGGAAGGCTTGGAGCAGAGGAGAAGATCTGCTCCAGTTATTTTGGAAAGCTGGCCCCAGGGCCTGGTGGTGCACGCCTGTAATCCCAGCACTCTGGGCCGCTGAAGAAGGAGGGTCTCAAAACTGAGATCAGACTGAGCTAAATAGTGGAGAGACCATCTCCAAATAAAAGTTTTTTTGTTTTGTTTTGTTGTTCTGGGCGTGGTGGTGCACACCACTACTTTGAAGAGGCTGATGTAGGAGGATCACTGTGAGTTTGAGGTCAGCCTGGGCTACCTAGTGAGTTTAAGGCCAACCTGAACGACACAGCGAGGCCCTGTCTCAAAAATGTGCCTGGTCACACCGTCTGCCCTTCATACCCTCCGTGCCCTTCATGGGCTGTTAAGAGTGCTGCGTTCAAATCAGTCACGAAGGAACCCCGGGTGGTGAAGAGAGGGGACCCTGTGACTCTGACTTCTACTACTGCGGGGGAGAAAAGAGGGCATAGCAGACCCCACACAGATTCTTGCAGCCTTTGTCCTTCTAGCTGTCACTTCCGCTGGTCAGACGCCGCCCCACAGGGTAGGGTGGGGATGTATAATCTCCCTGCAGAGAAGGATTTCAAACATTTGTGAACAGTAGTATAGTTACGTGGGCAAGAAAGGAGATGAAATAAATTGTTCTCGGTTTAACACTGTGCTCCGAATTGAATTGAGGTTTTAAAGGAATGCAGTAGATACTTTTAGGTCAAGCGAAAATGGGGCAATCATTATTCAGTCTTACGCGACTAGTGTTAGGGGTGGCCATGCCCCCATAAATTCAGTACTGAAGTCTTAAGCTTCACCAAATGACTTAATATGTGACTTTAGGAATACTGTCATTGTAGATGTAATTTGCTACTCCCTCCTTTTTTCTGCAGTATGGAGGATTTAATCCAAAGAGTGCTGAGCTCATGCCTAGCTATTTTATTGTTTTTTTTTTTTTTGATACCGGGGATCAAACTTGGGTCCTTGTACTTGCAAGGCAGGCGGCAGAACCACTGAGCTAAACCCCTGACCCTGATTTTTATTTTATTTTATTTATTTGGTACTGGGGATCAAACTTGGGACCTTGCACTTGCAAGGCAGGCAGTGGAACCATTGAGCTAAATCCCCGGCCCTACAAGAGCTTTCTATCTGTCTCATATCCTCCTGCTTTAGCCTCCTGAGTAGCTGGGATTTCAGGTAGGTAACACTACACTCAGCTACTGGTCAAGTTTATTTTTTTAGTCTTTTTTGGTATCAGGAATCGAACTCAAGGCCTCAGACTTACTAGACAGTTGCTGCACTGCTGAGCTACATCCCAGGCCCAAGTCTAGATGAGATCAGAATGGAGCAGGGTGAGCTCCCAATCCAACCTACTGGTGTTACAAAAAAAAAAAAAAAAAACAGGGCAGAGGCAGCGGGTATGGCAGCACACACCTCTAATCCCAACTACTTGAAAGGCTGAAGCAGGAGGATCACAAGCATGAGACCCTGTCTCAAAATTCAAAAGTAAAAGGGATGGGGGATATAGCTTAGCACTCCCGGGGTTCAATCCCCAGTACTGAGAGGTGAGGAGAATTAGACGGGAAACTTGTGGGAGAGGCCAAGACTGGGCAGGGCAGAGATTGGGTATACTTCTAAAGCCACGGGGCTCCAGAGAGGGTCAGTAACCACCAGAAGGTGGGAGGGAGGAGACATAAAACAGATTTTCTCGCACAACTGTCAGAAAAAATCAAATTTATCAACACCTTGATCTCCAACCTCTGACCTCCAGAGCTGAGACAACTGATTTCTGTTTGGTGTGTTGTTGTTGCTGTTGTTGTTGGTGGTGGTGTTAGTGGTGGTGGTGTGTGTGTGTGTGTGTGTGTGTGTTTGTGTGTGTGTGGAGTCATGGTCTCGCTAGTTCAGGCTGGCCTTGAACTCACCATGCAGCCCACGCCTGCCTTGAACTCACATCGATCCTCCTGCCTCAGCCTACCCAGTGCTGGGACTACAGGCGCTGGCTTCTCGACTGCTGAAGAGGCAGGCTAGAGAACAGGCCTGGCTGTCGCCCGCCCCCTTCCCCTAGATGGACACCGCCGTGCCCAACATCATGGAGATGGCCTTCCACCTGGAGCAGGCCGGCGTGGGGCTGAGCTCGGACGAGAGTTTCCGCATCTACCTGGCGCTGAAGCAGCTGGTGGAGCAGCAGCCGGTGCGCACGTGCCGCTTCTGGGGCAAGGTCCTGGGGCTGAGGCGCTGCTACCTGGTAGCGGAGGTGGAGTTCCGCGAGGGCGAGGAGGAGGCGGAGGAGGGCGAGGTCCTGCTGCCGGAAGGCGCCGCGGCGCTGGAGCCGCACGGCGGCGAGGAGGAGGAGGAGGAGGAGGAGGTGAGGCAGGGAGGACAGCCGCACAGGCGCCAACAAGTATCTGTATTTCGTGTGCACCGAGCCGGGCCGGCCGTGGACGCGGCTGCCGCACGTGACACCGGCGCAGATCGTGTGCGCGCGCAAGATCCGCAAGTTCTTCACCGGCCACCTGGACGCGCCGGTCGCCAGCTACCCGCCCTTCCCGGGCAACGAGGCCAACTACCTGCGCGCCCAGATCGCGCGCATCTCGGCCGCCACGCACATCAGCCCGCTCGGCTTCTACCAGTTCGGCGAGGAGGAGAGCGACGAGGAGAACGGGGGCGGCGCGGGGCGCCACACCTTCGAGGAGAACCCCGACTTCGAGGGCATCCCGGTGCTCGAGCTGGTCGACTCCCTGGCCAACTGGGTGCACCACACGCAGCACATCCTGCCGCAGGTGAGCCCCACGCATGAGAGGCCCGGGCCGCCCCCTTGTCAGTCCCCTCGTTCCTTCGACAGGGAGTGGTTGATAATCGGCGGTCAGAAGCTCTTGGGAGCTGGGCCTGGTGGTGCACACCGGTTATTCCCGCGCTCCGGGAGACTGAGGCAGGAGGCTTCCAAATTTGAGCCCCACCCTCAGCGCCACGCCCAGTTTAGTGATTTAGCAAGACCCAATCTCAAAAAATAAGAAGGGCTGTGGATGATGGCGCACTTTTGTAATCCCAACACTCGAAGGCTGAAGCAGGAGGATTGCCGTGAGTTTGAGGTCAGCCAAAGCTACATAGGGAGATGCTCCCCCCCATAAATAAATAATTAAATTTAAAGAATGGACCGGGGTTTAGCTCAGAGGTGCCATTTTGCCAGCGCAAGGTCCCAAGTTCCATCCCCAGACCCACAAAAATAAATATATAAATAAATAAATAAAATAAGCTAGGCGTGGTGGTGCACACCTGTAATCCCAGACTGGTGAGGCTGAGGCAGGAAGATCACTGTGAGTTCGAGACCAGCCTGGGCTACACAGTGAGTTCCAGGTCAGTCTCAACTAGAGACACTGTCTCAAAAACCACACACACACATAAAAACAAAACAAACAAATAAAGTAAAAAGGGTTGTGGGTGTAGCTCACAGTGAAGGTCTTGGGTTCAGTCACCAGTACAGGGTCTGGGAGGATTGACTGTAGGAACCAAACACATCTTGCAGCAGAATTTTCTAGATTTTGAAAAGGTTGCTAGGGTTAAGTACTGTGTATTGTACAGCACATAGGCAGGGCCCACAGCCTGTCTTCAAATGCATCAGTATTTCTGCAGCAAAGCTGACTACCTCTTCTTAGCTTGGGCTTGCTGCCAAATGACTTATGAAAACACTTTGGTTTTCTTTTCAGTGCTAGGGAACCCAATTCAGGGCCTCACACAGGCGAGGCAAGTGCTCAGCTGCTCAGCTACATTCCAGACCCCAAATCTGGTTTTCAAAGCTATTCAGAGTCTGAATTGTGGATGAGATGATGAGCCATAATAGGTACAGTGGCACACGCCTGTAATCCTGACACTTGGGAGGCTGAGGCAGGAGGATTGCCGAGAGTTCAAGGCCAGCCTGAGCTACATAGCAAGACCCTAAAAAAAAAAGCCAGAGAGAGAGAGAGAGAGAGAGAGAGATTATGGACCTGACCTGGATTTATTTTGTGCCTAGAGTGTCCCAAATTTATTTCGAACATTTCTTTTTCCTTTCCTTTTCTTTTTCTTTTTTTTAAACAAGATCTCACTATGTAGCCCAAGCTAGCTTTGAACTCAAAGTGATCCTCTTGCCTCAGCCTCCCTGAGTGCTGGGATTCAAGCACTCACCACCACAGATGGGTCCAAGCTTATATTTATACATTTATTCATTCAAGGAGACATCTGAGCCAGACGTGGTGCTTAGAGAAACCCTGCATCAAAATTTTAAAAATAAAGTCTGGGGGTGTACATCAGTGAGAAGGTCCTGGGTTCAATCTTCAGTACTGGGGAAAAACAAGTAGAAAGCACCTGCTGGGTTCTAGGAACTTTTAATTATCTAACTCATTAAGCCATTATTGACTTCACAATGTTTTATTGAATCCACTTAACTCCTTTACCATTCCCTACCATTCCCATTTCACAGCAAATGGAGCGGAAGTCTGGGTCTATGTTCACTCCTGAAGCCCTGGGTTCCACCGCAGCCCCCCACCCCCCAGCAGGACGGAAGGGGACTCACTGTCAGTGGGAGGCAGGTGGCTCCCGGTCCTGCCTGCCTCCCTGTGCTCCCCAGTTCAGGCCCGCTCCGTCCCCCGGGGGCTGCTGCCGGACCCCACTCCCACCCACAGGGCCGCTGCACTTGGGTGAACCCTTTGCGGAAGACAGAGGAGGAGGAGGAGCTGGGGGAGGAGGAAGAGAAGGCCGACGACGTGCCGGAGGAGGTGGAGCAGGAGATTGGACCTCCGCTGCTGATGCCGCTCTCCGAAGATGCAGGTAAGGGGCCCTGGTCTGGGAGAGGGTGGCACAGAGGGAGGCCAGGCAGAAAGTCCAGGGCCATCACGGGGCCCGTCTTGGAGCCTCAGTTGCTTCCTGAACACCACCCTCTCCTGGAGTGGCAAAGGCTTTAATATCTGATGTGGCCATTGAGTCCCAGGAGAGCTTTGGGGAAGGAGATGTAGTTAGGGACCCGCCCCCCCAAGGCCAGACTTAGCTGGATTTGGATGAGGCAGCTGGAGGGGAGAGGAAGGAGAGGCTGGTGAGGGTGGGCCAGAGAATGGACTTAGGCCCAGCCTGTGAGGGACGCCGGGTGCCTATCTCCCCCCCCACCAGGTGCCACCACTGAGGCTCACGTGGTGAAGTGGCCTCCAGGGCCACACCCAAGCGAGAGGGAGGTCTGGAACCCGGTTGGACAGGACAGCCCAAGCCATTGTCAGGGCAGCTGCTCTGGTGACACCCTGGTCCTCTGGCTCTGCTTTCTCCCTTCCTTCTCCTCCTCTACCCCAGGGCTCTGTGGAGGGTGTGGGGACCTCTGACCCCGTGCTTCTCTACATCCCGCTGCAGAAATCATGAATATGTCTCCCTGGACCACCCGCCTGTCCTGCAGCCTCTGCCCGCAGTACTCTGTGGCCGTAGTGCGCTCCAATCTGTGGCCTGGGGCCTACGCCTACGCCAGTGGCAAGTATGGCTTCCTGTCCCTCCCAGCAGGAGCCCTCTCAGGCCTCCCTCAGAGCTGGCAACTACCAGCAAGGGCAGATTAGGAGGATCCCCTGACTCCCTCCCAGAGGTTCCACTGGGGCTAAAATAAGAAATCCAAGTCGAGCCAATGGAAGGAGCTATAGTCCCAGGTACTCTGGAGGCTGACGCAGGAGGATCACATAAACCTAGGAGTTCAATCTGAAAACAATAACATAAAATTCCAGATGAAAGAATGGAGGATCTGGATCCAGGCATGTAGCTTAGTGGCATGGCGCTGTGCCTGCCTCGAAAGGTCCTGAGTTTGATCCCCAGTGCAAAAAAAAAAAAGAAAAAAAAAAGTGGCTCAGTGGTTCTGCCACCTATCTGTCTCATAAGGGCAAGAACCCAAGTTCGATCCCCAGTACCAAAAATAAATAAATAAATTAATTAATTAAAAAGTAAAAAAAAGAGGCTCTGAGAAGGGAAGGGAATGGCACAGGGCCACACCAAACTTGTGGGATGCTAAGCTGGATCTCCAGTTCCCTGACCTCTGGGCAGGGGGAGTTGACTCTTCTGGATCCCTGGATAGTTCTTCCAGTCGGGTCTGCTTTCAAGAGGTGGAAATCTTCTCCACCGGATGGCCCAGCAGTTGCTCCCAAAAGATTGGCAAGCCAGAGTCACCTGGCTGTTCCAGCCCCAGCAACACCCTCTTCAGTCCCTCAGCCCCTGACTCTAGAGTCCTAGAGGAGCCGGGTGGGGGCGCTACCAGCTCTGTCCACCAGATGGCAGCAGCTTTTTCACAGATTTCATGGCATCTTGACACTTGCACCACTTCTTGGCAATTTTTTTTCTTCTAAAGAGGCTGGGAAGTGGCATGCTTGTTTTCACCCAACTCCTTCTTCTGGCCACTCCCTAACTTACCAAGTTGCCTCTGGATCAAAGGATCCAAACTTGGGGTTCCACTCGCCCACCCTTCCACCCCTCTGCCCATACCCCCACTCCTCCACATGGCTGTCCGTCCTTCCCCTGCACAAGACCCTGGAATGTCACCACTGCCAGCTGTGTTCCAGACCCAGGCCCTTTGCTGGAAAGACGGACATGGCTGCTGTCCCAGAGCAGGCAGAGGAAGCAGAGGCAGACAACATGTCCCGGACCCCTCCGGCGGAATAATACCCCATTCCAAGGGAACAAGTGAGGCTGTGAGTTCAGTGAGTGCCTCAGTGCCTGTCAGGCATTCGGGGATCCCAGAGCAATGATTCCTGGGGAAAGCAGCTGAGCTGAAATCTGCAAGGGAAAGGAGTAGCCGGCAAAAGGCCAGCCGAAGGAACATCTAAGACCAGAGCTTCCCAGGCTGTCAATGTGAAGGCTCCAGGGGATCTGGTTAGGACGCAGATTCTTTCTGGTTACAGGGGTCTTGGATGGAGCCCGAGATTTAGGACCCTCCCCAGCAGTGGGGCTTTGAACCCAGGGCCATATTTCCAAGCATTTTTTTTTTTTTTTTTTTTTTTTTTTTTTTTTTTTTGGTACTGGGGATTGAACTCGGGTCCTTGCACTTGCAAGGCAGGCTGCCAAATTGCTGAGCTAAATCCCCAGCCCTTAGCTTTTTTTTTTTTGAAACAGATTCTCACTAAATTGCCCAGGTTGGGCTCAAATTTGAGATCCTCCTGCCTCAGCCTCTGAAAGTACTGTGATTGCAGGCGTATGCCGTCATGCCTGATGAGATCTGGCATTTTTAAACAGCTCCAAGTGAGGCCGATTGCTGATTCAGGGGCCATGTGGCTAGGGCTGGCAGGGGCCTGGAGCCTGCCAGGGTGGCTGTGTGTTGAGCGGTGCTGGAGGAAAGCAGTGCTCTGTGGAATAGAAAAGCATGAAAACAAGGTGGAAACAAAATCGCTGCTCCAGGACCAGAACTCTGGATCTCACCTCTCCCCATCTTCTCTCCTGTCTCTGTCGCTCCCTGTCCCAGAGTCCTCTCCTTTTTCTCCCACTTGTTTCTCTCCCATTTTCTAGCTGGACTTATGTAGAAGGGCAGAATTGGTAGGCGAGGACCCTCCCAGTGGCTGGCTTTCTTCCTTCTTTCTTTCCTTCCTTGCTTGTTTGCTTCCTTCCTCCTTCCCTTCCAGTACCAGGGATCGAACTCAGGACCTTGCACTTGCCAGGCAGGTGCTACACCCCTGAGCTCCATCCCCACCCTGGGCCTCCTTTATCATCAACCTCACAGCAGGACAGTGGCCACAGGGAATCTTGGTTGACTTTGCTTCCTTCTGTGCCCCAGCACCTAGAGCAACATAAGAGCTACATAGATCATTTTGTTTTATTTTTTTTCTTATTGAGTTTATTGGTACTTTTTAGGTATACATACATAGATCATTTAAAATGTTTTAGTAGCTATATTTAAAAGATGAAGATCTGGGCTGGGGATTTAGCTCAGTGGCTCCTCTGCCTGCCTTGCAAGTGAAAGAACTGGAGTTTGATCCCTGGTACCAAAAATAAATAAATGAATAAGTAATGAGATCAGCAAATAAATTAATTGTAGTAACATATTTTTGGGGGGGTACCAGGGGTTGAACTCAGGTCCTTGCACTTGTGAGGCAAGCAATGGAACCACTAAGCTAAATCCCCCGCATGTAGTAACATATTTTACCTCACATATCTAAGTTGTTATAATTAAAACATGAAATCATTAATGAAAAGTTAAAATCATTAACGAGCTATTTTATTTTATTTATTTATTTATTTATTTAGGTTTTTCTGAAACAGGGTCTCACTATGTAGTTGAGATTGACCTGGAACTCACTGTGTAGGCCTGGCTGGTCTTGAACTTGCAGTGATCCTCTTGCCTCAGCCTCCCGAGTGCTGGGATTACAGGCGTGTGCCACCATGCCTGGCCAACGAGCTATTTTATATTCTTTGTTTCATAGTAAGTCTTCAAGGCTGGGAATAGAGCTCAGTGGTAGGGCACTTGCCCAGCATGCAGATAACAGTAAGTTAAGCCTGTCATGGCTCACACCTGTGATCCCTGCCCTTGAGAGGCCGAGGCAGGAGGATCGCTGTGAATTTGAGGCCAGCCTGGCCTACATTTTGAGTTCAAGACCAGCCTGGACTGCATAGCAAAACCCTGTCTCAAAAAACAACAGGGCTGGGGATTTAGCTCAGTGGTTCCATCTCCTGCCTTGCAAGCACAAGAACTCCAATTCGGATCCCGGTACCAAAACAACAAGAAGCCGGGTGTGGTGGTGCTCGCCTGTAATCCCAGCACTCAGGAGGCTGAGGCAGGAGGATTGCTGTGAGTTCGAGACCAGCCTGGGCTACATAGTGAGTTCCAGGTCAGTCTCCATTACATAGTGAGACCCTGTCTCAAACAACAACAACAACAACACATAAAAAAGAAGAGGAGGAAAAAGAAAGTTCAGGTTGCCCTAGGAAATGTAGTGACTTATCAAAATCCTGTTTCAGAATTTAAAAATTAAAAATGGTCTGGGGGTGCGGCTCAGTGTCAATCCCTTGGGTTCAGTCCCCACCATTGGGGGGAAAAAAAAGACCTTCATTTCAATTCTGGGCACTGAGTTTTTATTTTTTTATTTTTTGTTACCGGGGATCGAACTCAGGTCCTTGCACTTGCAAGGCAGACACTGGAACCACAGAGCTAAATCCCCTGCCCCCTGAGTTTTTATTTTTATTTTTTATTTTTTGATACTGGGGGTCAAACCAAGCACTGAGAAAAAAAAAGAAAAGAAAAAGAAAGAAAGCAAAGTAATACATTGAAGGACTGGGCGTGTAGCTCAATGGTAGAACATCTGTCTAGCATTTGATAGGCTTTGGGTTCCATCCCCAGGATTAGGGGAAAACAAAAACAAAGCAAAACTAAGTCTTCAGAATCTGGGATGTACTTGTACTTTCCATTTACAGTGCACTTCAATTTGGATACTAAATTTTCCCCAGAAATATCTGGACTGTATTCACATCATCAGAAATACATTTTTTTTTTTTCCTTGAGACAGGGCTTTGCTTTGTAGTGCAGGTTGGCCTTGAATTCACTATGTAGCCCAGGCTGGCCTCAAAGTGGTATCTATCCTCCTGCCTCAGCCTCCTAAAGTTACAACCATGTGCATCAGAAATACCTGACCTGTATTCAGACTGAAAAATATTTATAGTTTTAAAAAATAAATAAATACAGAAACATATTTATAGTTGAAAATGGAGATTCAAGTACGCAAGATGTTCCGGACATTCATAGAAGTTTTCCAGTAACCAAATTGAGTCTCAATTTTATTATTTAAATTGAAACTAATTAAAATTAAAAGGGCCGGGGATCTAGCTCAGTGGTTCCGCCGCCTGCCTTGCAAGCGCAAAGACCTGAGTTCAATTCCCAGTACCAAAAAATAAATAAAAAAATAAAAATAAAAAGCCCATTCCACCCAACAACAGCAAAATGTATATTCTTCTGAAGCATTCATGGAACACACTCCAGGACCAAGTACTTAGGCAGGATTCTCAATAAATGTGAACCAATTGAAACCATGCAAAATATCTTCTCTGACCACCATGGAATTAAATTAGAAATCATAATAGAAGAGAACTGGTCAAGCAGAAATCCCAAGCCAGGAATGGTCATGCACACCTGGAATCCAGCACTCGGAGGGACTGAGGCAGGAGGAACACAAATTTGAGTTCAGCCTGAGTAACTCAGAGATTTGGTGACACCTTGTCTCAAAAGAGCAAAAACAAACCAAAAACCCCTGGGGATGTAGCTCATTGCAAAAGACCTGGGTTCAATAAAGTCATCACACTGGAAATTAGAAAAATTACATAATACAATTGAAAAATTAGACTTCCCCTTCCCCTCGTTATGTTTCAAGCATTCCTGCAGCCGTGCTCTCAGATGGTGCCACTCTAGACCTAAACTTGTACAGCGTAGGTGCTCTGTAAACATTTGTCCAATAAACAGAGGGACAGAGAAACGGGGTGGGTGTGTTTCACCTGACCCCGCGAGACTGTGCGAGACTTGGCGTTCAGGCTGTGCCCATGCTCTGGGCAGCCCTTACAGAGTTTCATGCTACCTCGCTGCCCCTCTAGAAAGTTTGAGAACCTCTACATCGGCTGGGGTCACAAGTACAGCCCGGACAACTTCAACCCGGCCCTGCCAGCCCCGGTCCAGCAGGAGTACTCGAGCGGCCCGGAGATCATGGAGATGAGCGACCCCACCGTGGAGGAGGAGCAGGCCCTGCGGGCTGCCCAAGAGCAGGTCCTGGCAGCCGCGGAGGACGAGGAGGAGGAGGACGAGGAGGAAGAGGAGGACGAGGACCTGGAGGACTAGGGCCCTGCAGCTCCTTGCCCCAAGCAGGTAGACCGCAGTTTTGCCTTCCATGTAGTCAGTTCCCGATTGTATTTTCAGTAGTTTGCTTCCTGCTGCTGGTGTGCAAGGGTGGAAGGCAAATAAATTTCCAGTGCAGTGATCGATTTATTCATTCCCCACATTTGTGGACCTGGATGTCAAGTTAGGGCCGTTGCTCTGTGCTGGGAGCGGGGGCTGACAGCTGCTTGCTGAGCCCCTACTTCTTCATTTATTCAGTTGGCCATCACAGGGATACCGAAGTGACCCCATTAGCCCAGTCCTGTGCCGAAGACACAGAAATATCTATGTGGGCCCCGGCCTGCCTTCCCAGGGCTCGCTCTCTCTGAGGAAGACAGGCTTGTCCCCAGACGATGGCAGTCCCCCTAGAGGAGCTCAGAGGACTGACAGAGCTGCTGAGCCAACTCCTAAGAGGGCAAGAAAAGGAATGCGGAAGGGCATTCCAAGCACAGGGAACAGCATATGCACAGATGTGAGGGCAAGGTACAGTGACCATACGATGGAACAGGGCAGTTTCTCCTTTTAGGTGGTACATGGTGTAAGAGGTTAGTGGACAGAGATGAGGCTGGAAAAAGAGATTGGCTGAGGCCAGACTGCACAGGGCTTAATTTTACCAGGCAGCTAGGAGCCACACGTGGTCTGGATCAAGGGAATGCCCTGATCTTATTTGTACTTTGGAAAGACTCCTCTAGGCAAATGTCTAGTGGCCCAAACCTTTAATTCCAGCTACTCAGGAAATTGAAGCAGGAGGATTGCAAGTTAAAGGCCAACCAGGGCAATTTAGAGAGACACTGTCTCAAGTGCTGGGTGTGGTGGCACACACCTGCAATCCCAGCATTCCGGAGGCTGAAGCAGGAGGATTGCTGAGAGTTCAAGGCCAGACTGGGCTACATTGTGAGCTGGCTGCCAACCTGAACTACACAATGAGACCCTATCTTTAAAACAACAATAGTCTAGGGAAGCCAGACAGGATGGTTCACACCTGTAATCTCAGCACTGTGGGAAGCGAACCAGATTGCAAGTCTGAGCCCAGCCCAGGCACTTTAGTGACTTAGTGAGACCCTGTCTAAGAGGGGGAAGGGGCTGTGTAGTTCAGCGTGAAGGTCCTATGTTCACTCCCCAGTACCAAGAGGCCAGGCAGGAGTCTGGGAGACCAGGGACAAGACTGATGCGGGGGTACTCAGCAGCAGAAGTTTAGAGAAGGACTATAAAAAGGAAGGAAATGAAAAAGAAATTCTGATGGTAGGATGCAGAGACTTGGGCGCTGGAAGTGGGAGGAGTGAAGAGAAATGGTATAAATTCAAGTAGACACACAAATCTGTGACCCAGGGGACTGGGTAGCTGGCAGAGCCAGTCTTAAGATGCCATGCTCACTATAGGACTTGGGAGCTGGACATTCTGGTGAGAAATCTGAGAAGCCTTTGAGTACTGGAGTCTAGAAAAATCTGTGTTCGGGCCAGGGTGGCTTCAGCAGAAGAGAGGGGAGACTTTGGGTTACTAATGGATCATTGGGGCACGGGGGCATCGCAAGGATCAATGAAATTTTGGAATCAGAGGTAGGTTTTGGAGGAAAAGTAAGGCTATTGAAGACAGTGAAATCATGGAAAAGTATAGTGGAGGCTGGTGAAAAATACAGGTGATGTTTGGAGTTAGCATTAATTATAGTGGATCAGATGAAGCTTCGGGGGTTTTGTGGCGACACTCGGGTCTACTATGATTTGGGGGACCCAAATTTGAGGATTTGGGGGTGGGAAGAAATGGTTAGGGGCTTTAAGCTGTCAGTGGGAACACTGGATATTGGGAGGGTGTATTGTGAATTTAAGACACAAGGATCACTTAGGGTAAGTTGTGGCATCGTGGGAGGGCTGTAATACAGACGAGGCCGTGTGTGTGTGTGTGTGTGTGTGTGTGTGTGTGTGTGTGT